TGCTGGTGGATCTTCAGCTAATTTAGACAAGGAAGAAACAATGTCTGTAGTATTATGCGAAAAGATTAATCAACTTCAGGAAGATCTTCTAAAAAATGCACAAATATTCATAGTTTTCAAATACAATAAATGGCGGGCCGTTTACGAGTATTTTGTACAGTTAGATAATGGTGATGGTAAAATGCAGGCAAGCGAGGAAGCTGCGAATGTTGTCTATGTCTCGCCAAAACCATATACAGCTAAATGGATCCGTGCTTTGGCTAAATCTTATTTATATAATGAATCGTTTCCACTTTCATGATGTGGCCGACACCAAAAATATAAGTGACTTGTTGATAATGAAGATATCGCATTACAATATCAACGATGGATACAGCAGGAATCTGAAATGAATGGAATAAGCACCTCTCAATTTAAGCAATACATTGAAAATATCATTTTTCCCGAATGCATTGAAACCAAAAAAATAATCAGTTTACGAACAGCGGAAAGGTGGTTGAATGTTTTGGGATGTCAGTTTGAGAGACATCGACAAGAAATATACTTCGATGGGCATGAGCGGGAGGATGTCATTATATATCGAAAGGAATTTTTGATAACAATGAGGAAGTTAGAACGAAAAATGGCAAAGTATGAAGGAGAAGCGATGGATGCAATTTCACCGGTGCTTGGCATAGGTGAATGCGAACTAATTTTTGTTACTCATGATGAGTGTATCTTTTACTCGAATGATGGAAAAAGGGGTATTTGGATATTAGATGGGGAAACACCATTGCGGAAGAAGGGGAATGGGAGATCCATTATGGTGAGCGAATTTCTTTCGGAGGCATGTGGTCAGTTAAAACTAAGTGAAGAGGAGACAACAATACATCTAGATGTTCCTATAGAGGCACGTTGCTACCTTATACCCGGCAAAAACCAGGAAGATTATTGGACTGTTGAGCATTTATTGGAACAAATCAAACATAAAGTAATACCTATTTTTGAAGTGAAGTTTCCGAATGCGACAGCTGTTTTT